GGAAGTGCAGGTAGACAAGAAGGAGTAATGACAGCATTGGAAATGGAGAAAGGTTAGATTTTCTACCTTACAGATAATTACTTCTTTTGTGTTTGCCTCATTGTGAGCATGCCCACATTTATCATTTCTTAGTTTTCTCTACTTAAGAAAACACAATGGTGTGTTACAAAATGGTATGTAATTTTTAAAAGATATTAGGCAATAATGGATTCTGTATTTGGTCAACACATGTGCTTGCACTGTAGCACCAGGCAGCTGTTTGTAGTTGATACTGAATGGGACCTTCTGTCTTTTGCTCCCCAAAACTGAAAAGTCAGGCATCCCAGCCAGGGCTTAGCATGGTGTCTGCAGCCAGTTGCTTAAGCTGGGGACGTGGGTCTATGGTGGGAGAGGCTGAGAGCACAGGCTTTGGTGCTTGGGAAGCCAGGTGCTGATGGATCCATCTTTACCCCTGGAATTGTGTTTAAAGTGGGGATGAAACCCACACCATAGGGCTGCCACTAGCAATGAGCTAATGCATATAAAAGGCTTTGCAGGATCCTGGTAACAGAGTAAGCCCTCGGTAAATTCTACCAGTGGTAATTATGATTTTCATTATTGCACATCGCAACCACTAAAATCCTGTTATTAAAGCAAAAGGAAATTGCTGGCATTATAATGCTAAGTGAAAAAAGTTTCCAGAATGATTCCAATTATGCATACAGCTATTCTTACACGTTTCTGGCTAAGATTGTAATGTGAGTGCAAGTGTTTAATCTCCCACCAATGCCTTCCCCTCCCCACACTCCTGCCCCCAGAGCATGTCAGAGGATATTTTTGGGAAAATACAAAAAAATGAGGGAATTCTGATTCAGTGCTTGAAGCTGGACTACTATCGTCCACATGGCAGCATCATTGTGCTGGTTTGTGCAGACGGCATGGTACAGAGGATGTGTGAAGCCAGCCTCATCATTCTCCCCATGGGAAGGAAAGGTGAACAGGAAGGTATGGAGGAGACTCTGACAAGCCCCAAGACCTGCCCTGTCTCCACCTTGGGGAGTGAGAACAATTGGTACAAACTTGACCTTGAGTAGAAAAAAATGGTTAACTCTTTTATAACCAGAGAAGTTGTTTATCTGTGAAAGGCTCAAACAGAACTCAGAATTCTATTTATTATTTGAAAGCTGGAGAGACAGGGAGAGTGACAGAAACATCTCCTAATTCTCTGTGGGTCTCTCCTCAGATTCTCTCAAAATCAACAGCTTGGCCAAGATAGGAGCCAGGAACTCAATCTTGGTGTTCTACGTGGATGACAGGGAGCCAAGTCCTTGGGCCATCATTTGCTGTCTCCCAGGGTGTACAGCATCAGAAATCTGGACAGGAGAACAGAGCCAATCTTGAGTCCCAGGAATTCTGAAAGCAGTTACAGGTGTCCCAAAGGGCATTTCACCAGAAAGGCTCCCAAAGCGAAAACCTTTTGGGTATCCTATCAGGAATTGTGCATTTTTGGATGACAGACGCTCAACCGTGTGATGCTGTATCTCTGGCAAACTGTCCAGACTAGGGCCGAAGATTTGTGATCAGCGTGTAACTTGGCATGGCAATCATGGGCACAGTGATGTAGCTGCCTGGCAGAGTGCATAGCAAGGCAGAGGACTGCCTGAGCAATGATCTTGAGCTTCAGTGTTCCCAGGATGAACAGAGAAAGAACAGTCTTCAAATTGATTTGAAACACTATGCCCAGAGGAGTCAGGGGGAGTAGTGTGAGTTCCGGAAAGCCAGTGAGTGGGAGTACTCCCAGATGAGAGAATCTTAGTGGCATCAAATGTTAATTTGGAGTGCAAAGAAGATTTCCTGTGGGATCCCCTCATCCCAGGTCAGAGCACCTGATTTCGTGTCCTGGTTCTGCTTACACAGACCCTGGGAGGTAGTGAGTGAGGGCTCAAGTGCTTAGATCCTTGTCAGTCACGTGGGGAATCCAGACAGAATTCAGGCTTCTCTGAAAAACACAATCCCCTGTTAAGAACCCAGTCTGGAGGAGTTTGACAAGAGAAAAAGTTCCGTGGCTTATTACCTCTTTACAAGGCAAATACAGAATTCTAGAGCACTTCAGAGTTGGGACTTGTAACTTATGCTGGGAACCAAGGCAGGGTAATTGTGAATTCTAGGCAAACATAAAGAGAATACTGGAGGAAGGGAGGCAGGGAACATAACACGTAAAGGCCTGCTGGCCACGAGAATATGCCTACGTGTTTGTCACAGTACACTAACAGCTGTAACACATGTTCCCCTAATTTCAGTGATTCATATGATTCTTACTCATTAAAAACAAGTAACTTAAAGAAGCATTTTTTACTCAAAAATCAGAGAGAATCTTTTATTTGCTGGTTAACTCCCCAAAAGGCCACAACGGCCAGAGGTAGGCCAGCCTGAAGTAGGGAGCCAGGAGTTTCTTCTAGGTCTCCCGATGTGAATACAGGGGCCCAAGCACTTGGGCTGTCCTCTATTGCTTTCCCAGGCCATTAATAGGGAGCTGGATCAGAAGTGGAGCTAGCCAGGACCTGAACATCAGCCCATATGGGATGGCAGCAGTGCAGGTGGCAGATTAGTTTGCTATGCCATGGCATTGGCCTGAAAATGGGTGACTTTGGCAGCAGCATTTTGTTAAAAAAAAAATCAAAACAGTCAAATCTTTCAAAGATTGATTTATTTTTGTTGGAAAGTCAGATATACAGAGAGGAGAAGACAGAAGATCTTCCATCTGCTGGTTTAGTCCCAAGTGGTCACAATGGCTAGAGCCGAGCCATTCCGAAGCCCGGAGCCTCTTCTGGGTCTCCCACATGGGTGCAGGGTCCCAAGGCTTTGGGCCATCCTCAACTGCTTTCCCAGGCCACAGGCAGGGAGCTGGATGGGAAGTGGGGCTGCTGGGACATGAACCAGAACCCACATGGGATCCCGGCACTTGCAAGTTAAGGACTTAAGCCACTAGTCTATAATGCTGGGCCTGGCAAGAGCATTTTTGCTTCGTTCTTTCAAACATTTAGTTGAGATACTATTTATGCATGTGAATTTTAAAGGCAAAGATATAGAAAATTGTTCAATTTGTTTTTCAAATCTGGTATAATTGAAGCAATATAACTTGGGCAGAACAAAGCAAATTGGGCCTATCCATCATAATCCTCCCCATCAACATTATAATAGCTAACATGTGAGTGTCATTGTGTACTAGAATAACTCCATGTAATCCGCCCATCAGTCATCTTAACAAAATATTAACAAATTGAGATCAGGATACCAAGAAAATGGCATACCATGTTGTTGTCTTCATGTGCACTTGTGTGAAATAGAGAAATCTAAATTTGTCAAAGCAGGAGATTCTTTGGATTGTAATTTTCTAAAGTTACAGAAAGTCAAGATTTTAAAAAAGTCATTAAAACATAGTAAATAAACTTTCCCAAATAGCCAGTACCACTTCTGGTGGTGAAATACGAGTATGATTTCAATTAGGAAAAATCCAATAATACTCAATATCGTACTCCTTTGGGAGGCATAATTATTAAGCATTAATAAGTTCTTAAGAAATATGAAAGTGATCAACAAATACAATTATAAGAATCCTTTTTCCTCACTGGTAAGAAATCCAAGTGAAAATGTCTACGCATTTTGCTAGAGGGAGTATTAATTTATATATTCTTCAGAGGAAGGATTTTGTATGAAAGGTCTCAGATATAAATTACAATTTTCAACCCAATAATTCTAATTCTTAGCATTTGTTGATTAAAATAACTATAGTTATATTCAAAGGATAATCACTGCTCTGATTTTTTAACAGTAAGAAATTAGGATTACATTAAATGCCCAACATTAGGAAGCCATTTAAATAAATTATAGAACATGGCATGGAAAATATGCAGGAATTTTAAATAATATTATAAAAGAATATTTAATAACCTAGGGGAAAGTTTATGCTACACAGTCTTATTAAGTAGATAAAAAGTAGGTTATGGAAAAGCATGAGTAGTTTGTCTCTGGATAATTTCACGTGTCAAAATTTGGAAGGATGTAACCAAACAGTTAATCCAGGTCATCGCTTATGAGGTGGGCTTATGAGTGATCTTATTTCTATTTCTGTACTGAGATTTTCAGATAATTTAAGAAAATGTGTTACTTTGATGTTAAGATAATAACAGATACGCATGAACACAAAGGAAAGTGCACACTGCTGTGCTTATTGTTATATAACATGAGTTCAGGGAATTGTTTTATTCTTTGCATCTTTCCTTTGATCATGTATTAATTTGAAAGCCATAAAATTTAAATGGCAAAATTTTTCAAAATGCAGGAAGGAAGGAGAAAGAATAAGGGTAGACGGTTGACGTCTGTCACTCACTCATTTTCCCCGTCCCTGGCACTGATTGTCTCCGTGCGTCAGGCTCCATCTTAAGGCACATGCGTGCAGAGGCCAGAGCAGCTGAGGTCCGCTCCCGAGAGCCCCGCGGGAGAGCAGGAGCCGGCATGTTAAACACGCACCTGTACCTGAGGACAATTGCAGTTCCAGAGTGTGCTCATGCTATGCACACATGAACTGGGTTTTTTGAGAGTAAGTTCATAAAAGGCTTAAGAAAGCATGATATTTAGAAGAATTAAGAGATGGCAGAGGTATGCTTGTGGAAGAAGAGAGGAAGGAAATAGGGAAAGTAACATAAAGGTAGTTCATTTAAGAAATGGAGGTATAGTTGATAATGCAATGTTTGATTCCTGAGCACCTGGGGAGAATTATACATTTTGTGTGTAAAGAAAAAATTAATTCTCTAATTTTGAATGGTATTCTGGTAAGATAGTGTAAAATCATTATAAATTCCAAAATGATTTATGGATTAATCACCAACACTGTCATAAAACCTTTACTTCATGCATGTGTGTATTAATTCTTAGATAACATCAGGATCTTTTGCCTGTGGAAGGCTCACAAAGCTGACTGGCCAAGATAGACACTTCATGTGAGGGCTTTTGTCTTTCAGCCTTAAATGAACCCACCATAGACTACGGCTTCCAGAGACTGCAGAAAGTCATTCCGAGGCACCCTGGGGATCCTGAGAGATTAGCTAAGGTAAACTGCTTTGGAAATCCACTTGTGAAAACTTTTTTTCTTTTTGGTAGAATTTCTGCACACCTAGAGAGATCTACCCATTTACATCCTGTTAGCATTAATTAGACCTGCCTTGAAATTTGACCGGGCTTTAAGAGCAAGATGTCTATAAAACACTATGAAGTTTATTTTTTTTAATCTCTGAGGAAATACTCCTATGAAATCTGAGAATTTGGCCCTGTAAAACAGATATCCCACAAGAGAATTCAGCTTATAGGACACTAATGAGTATTAAAATAGCTGCTTCATTGCCTAAAAATGTAAATTCCCATTCCTTTGTATTTAAATAGGATTATGTATATATTTTTAATTATTATTTTGATAATCTTTACATAGTTGGGGTGCAAAGAGTCAAGGGCTACAAGAAAGTGGGTAACACCATTGTTTACATTTTTTTTTTTTTTGCCTAGCTCTGGGATAAAGAGAGAATAAAGGGAGAAGCCCCACCTGGCCTCCCACCAATCCCAGGTCCCTGACATGGGGCATGCTCTGAGGGCACTGCTCAAGTGGTTTTCATGGTCCAACAGTTCTGAATTCCTGCCAATCTCACCATTCCAAGCTCAATGAAATCTCCAGAATCTACTGGCTGACATAGTCCACCTTAGAGTCTCCATTTGCCCAGATTTTCACTGCCAACACATGCCTGGGGTAGATGATTGATTTGTTTACCCAAATTACTAATCATATACATCATAGGCTCTCAGTGAATAAGTATTTAATGAATAAAATGACATCTCCATATGAAATTTCTATGAAATGCATCATTTTTAAATGAACTTGCTTATAAAAATTGTATTATGAATCTGGCCCACAATAGTAGTTTTATAATTTAAATGATACATCAATTTATTAATCATCAATTAATGAGAATCTATTAAAACATATATTTATATGTGTACTTTAAACATATTCTAAAATGGCATGTTATTTTTTTTCTGTACTGTAAGTAAAATTCAACTTCCACAGTTGCTTTTACATCATACCTTTAGGTTCCTCCTGGAAAATTCCCAGTTCCACCATTAAATTAGATGATCTCAGAAAGTAGGTTAATAGCAATTTAAATGGCTGTAAAAAACAGGAGGTGGAAAAAACAGAATGAGAGGAAAGGGATTAGTTATCACTAATTCTTTCTGGCTAAAGTGAACAGGGGGAAATGTTATTGAAAGAATTCATCTTTATTAGACAAAAATTTTATAGAAAGCATTGCCAACACAATTTCAGTACTCTGGACAACTCCTTGGCAAGCAACTAAATCCAGGTCCATCAATCATTTTAAGAGTTTTTGGTTAATTAGAGTCCAGATTTTTAACAGTGATCTGAAAGTAGCTTTTAAAATAATTTGTGACATTAGTTATAACCAACTCTACCCTCAATTTGGTTGATATTTCTGTTTTGTTTTGTTTTGTTTTGGTAGCATAACTCCTTATAAAGATATTTCATAGTGGTAACTTTAATGTACATAAACATTTATAGAAGAATCTACATGAATGGTTGAATTATACATGTCAAACCCTCTGGTGATATTTACATTTTGGGCATGTGTGTGTACTTCTGATTTTTATCTGTAGTTTTCCTTTGTGTGTTTGGATTTGACCTCTTATTACCCCCACTGTTTTCTTCTCTAGGAAATGCTGTTAAAAAGAGCTGCAGACCTCGTGGAAGCACTGTATGGCACACCACACAATAACCAGGTGAAAAATCCACATCTTGCTAGGTCAACCGACTTTGACTCTGCACGCTGAGGCCAGTGCTCACCCCACCCTTCTGTTTTCCAGGACATCATTTTGAAGCGAGCTGCAGACATTGCTGAAGCCCTCTACAGTGTCCCCAGGAATCCGAGCCAGATTCCAGCCCTTTCCAGCTCCCCAGCTCACAGTGGCATGATGGGAATCAACTCCTACGGCAGCCAGCTTGGGGTCAGCATCTCAGAGTCAACTCAAGGAAATAACCAAGGTACCTCCTTTCCCTCAGGGTCCAGATTCAAACATATCTCACATGTTTAACAGATTTTCTCTGGAAAGAGAGCTTCAGCCAATGCTATCAAACAGAATGTGGCTCCAGGGAAGCAACAGAATCTTAGATTGCATTTTGACGTTATAGATGCTCTGTTAAATGGCTTGCAGCTTTTTGGGCACCACGTAAAGGAATGTACATGAGTTTAGGTTTATGAAATTAATACTTATAAATCTAGTCTTCATAAAACGTACACTTTTGTGATAGACTAAAGAATGAAAAGAGGCAGAGTTTTAGCGTTATCATTTGTTATACCAAGAACCAACCAAGAGTAACTTGATTTTATTTGGGTAATTTCTATTATATTTTGTCACATAAGCAAACAGATAACAACGAATGCAAACAAGGGCTCTTTTAAAAGTTCATTGGGAAACCTGAATTATGAAAGGGTTTCACAACTGTTTTTTTGCAACAAAATAAGCTTACCTTTTTATCCAGTCTTCCATAAGCTTTAAAAAGCTTTTACTCTGGGCCTGGTGCAGTAACCTAGTGGCTAAAGTCCTTGCCTTGTATGTGCCAGGATCCCATATGGGTACCAATTCAAGTCCTAGCTGCTCCACTTCTGATCCAACTCCCTGTTCGTGGCCTGGGAAAGCAGTAGATGACAGTCCAAGGCCTTGGGACCCTGCACCCATGTGGGAAACTCGGAAGAAGCTCATGGCTCCTGATGGGCTCAGTTCTAGCCGTTGTGGCCACTTAGGGAGTGATCCAGCAGGTAGCAGGATCTCTCCCTTCTGTAAATCTGCCTTTCCAATAAAAAAAATTTTTTTCAAACCCTTACATTCATTTAGTAGATAAGTGTGTGCATTCTTAGTGGGTCACTCTCCAAATGCCCACAGGGCTCTGGGCTAGGGTGGCAGCCAAGTCGGAGGCCAATTACTGCATCCACAGGAAACTCCAGTGTGGGGTAGACCTGGGTATCAAGTCTAGACAATGAAATAGCACACAGGTATCTTAACCAGCCTCCTAACCATTAAACTAAACCCCTGCCCTGCACCTCAAATCGTTTGAAATGCTCTCATATAGTGAAGCGTGCCTTTATATGTAAAGTATATCAGCAAAGATTTTTTTCATTGATGTTGACTTTATTACAAAGACTAAATCTGCCATAAATCATTTGTGAAAAAGAAATGTTCTTAATAGTGTCACTAAACCTAGGAATTTTGTTTCTAATTATCACTCATCCATTGGAAGACACTTCCCCTTCTGTAAGAGTGAGTGAGACTCATTATCGCTTTTCTTTCTGGGGGGCAGACATTGGACTTATGGATCTTCTTTGTCAAATTTAGGTAGTTTTTGAGATAACTAACTCTAGCAGCTTATTTCGTTGGAGACTGAGTTTTGTGTATAGGTTGGGGTTTCAGGAGTGCGGGGAGAATCCATTATCTCTTTGCTTCTACCGCATGGGATGGATCCTCTTACACTGAGTTGCTGATGCCTCCAAGCGTTTGGTTAAAGGAGAGCACTTTTGCTGAACTCGATGTTTTTTGAATGAAGATGACTTCCAGTCCAACATAGAGTATGCAGTCACTCTGAACCAATGTCCCTGCTTTTCAGAATTCAGTTGGTCCTGGAAGTATTCTTGAGCACCCATCCTCCCATCTCTAAGAAAGACACAATAGAATATTAAACTTGAGAAATGCTAAATTAGGCTTATTAAACCAGTCATCTATGCTCTAGGCCTTTCAATACATGAATCCTCAAGAAATGACTGTAGAACATAACATCTGCCTAGATTTATGTGATCATAAAATGGTTTTGTTTTGTTTTTTTTTTTTTTTTTTAGTGACACCAATTAGTACTCTTCGGACTTGAGTGTCACATGAGATAAAGTTTGGGAGACAGCCCTCCACACTGCCGTTAGTTGTTCCCCCTTAGCATGTGCTAAGTGCTGAGGGCTGTTTGAAAGAGGAGGAGGGAGGCACTATCAGGAATACCACCTTGAATAGGGAGGGAAAGGGAGAAGAATCAGAGGGTGAAGATGAATTGTACAGCTCCTGGGTTGAGGGCTCGTGCAGGCCTGTGCCAGGTACATTTCACATGGCTCTGCATTCCAGCTGACTTACCAGGGCTTTTCCTTTATTGTCAAGGATACATCCGCAACACAAGCAGCATCTCTCCGCGGGGATACTCTTCAAGCTCCACACCTCAACAGTCTAACTACAGTACCTCGAGTAACAGTATGAACGGTTACAGCAATGTCCCGATGGCCAACCTGGGCGTCCCAGGATCGCCAGGATTCCTCAATGGCTCACCCACAGGCTCCCCTTATGGAAGTAAGTCTATGCATCCAGCTTCCTATTCTGTCTTGTCTGAGTTTAATGATGGAATTTTGCAAGGGGAAATTGCATTCCCAAATAATACTGATTGTTTTGTGGGGAGTAGCTCAGTTTCTTAGTGCAGTGTCCTTCCTGTGTTTGTGTTTGCTTAGCTGCAGTTGACTTCATGTGGTTACTCAGTGCCTCCTGGGAGAAGGAAAAGGACAAAATGATTCCCTTTACACAGAGAAAGAGTTTCCAACAATACTTTGAAAGTTCATGGAAAACGTGTATTATGAAAAAACTATGGCTTCAATTTTTTTAAATTTTTAATTCCATTTCCCATGAACTGTCACTGTCTGGTGTGTTCCTTTTATGCCTCGTGAGGAGTTATGAGTATTTCCCTTATCTATATGGATGTTCTTCATTAGATGCTCTGTTACAATAAATCATTTTCATGAGAACTTTCTGAGGTTAGTGCTTTTATCTCCGTGTTACAGATGAGAAACTGTATTTGGAGTCGAGCAGGGCAGTTGGGCACAAAATGGATGACTAAGAGTTTTTCTGTGTAGCATACTTGTGCTTCTGTTTGATTTTGTAACATGACCTTGCGGTCCCTTAAGTACCTCCAGAGAGGTGAAAGTTGACTGATAATGCTGAGGTATATTGAGACAGAACTGCTTAATCTATGGTCTAGCAGAAAAGTTGACAAATTGTAAACACTCATGGGTTGCTTTGGGAGCTAAGTTGGGAGCTTGCACAATGGTCCCAGAGGCCCGAAGAGTATGTTTTTCAAACCTCAGAGAATGCTTCAGGCCAGGAGACATGCTGGCATGCTGAGTCTGGAGTGAGGAGTGTTCTGGAAACCCTGGGTGTTACTGCAAGGTCCTACAGGCTGTCCTCTTTTCACCCAGAGTGATTCCTTTGGCCAGGAGTGAGGACATATCAAGGACAGTCCTCAGCCATGGTCACCACGATTCCGGAAGTGTCATGCCTGGGAGGCCACCTCTCACAACCTTAGGTTCCCTGGGGAAACACACCGCTGAGAAATTTCTGGGTTTTCTGTATAATTGAGTCACTCAGCCCCTCTACACAGATTACCAGAACAGAGTACCAAGTAGCAGCGGGCAGGCAAGGTCAGTTCTAGCACAACTGAAATCTTGTTACTACAGAAGTACTCTGTTGTGTCTTGTCAGATGGCCCAGGCTAATTAGATTAGTATGGTCCAGGGGAAACAAATTATTGCCTGATTTGTCTCTTGGCTTGATTTTGCCTTATCTGCTTCCAAAAATTTAGTGGAGGAATCATAATTGTCAGATGGGTGTGTGAAAGTACAAGCTAGAAACAATCGAGAAACTGCAATAAGTGAAAAAATAAGTCTGTTTAGGATTATCAAATAAATCCAGTGGCCAAGCATAGATACCCTTTGGTTTTCTGAAGGAAGTCATTGATTTGGTTCTGAGTTTTCATGATGCTGGAGTGAAGAGAGGAGCAGGATTTTCTATATGGTTTATGTCCACACATTTGTATTTGCTTATGTAGATCAGAGGAATGTGGGTGCTTCCATTGCTAAGGTCTTAAGGAAGTCTCCCCCAGGCTTCCTCAAGGAGAAGGAGTCCTGCATGATAAAAGGCCCACATCTTTAACAACCCATCTAAGTGATGTAATGGCCACTGTGTAAGTAATGCTTGCATCTAGAATCCAGGCAGATCCTCACCATCACCTCTGACATGGGAGTAACTTATTATCATTGCCATGTTTCCTTGCACAAGATAGAGATGTTGCATGATTTACTCAAGGATTAGACACAATAGCAAATGTGAGACTGGAACACATGTCACCAGACTCTAGATACCATGCTCTGAACCTATGCAATGTTGTAAGAAATATTTACTGCTTCATAATTATTAAGCTGTGCCATATGAAATGTCCTCTATTTGATCTATCAAAACAGAAATTTGATGTGATTCAATTGTATATTATGTAATAGCAACCTATTATATATGCACCAAATGAAACAGTTGGTCAGTCTAATACTACAATGCTGACAGAAAAAGAGAAAGTTGAGGAGGCAAAAAGAAAAGCAGAGAGGGAGGTGGGAAGGTAAGAAGAGGTCAGGGAACAGGCCAAGTTGAATGTCAGTTGCTTAATGTTTCTTACTGGGTAATTCATTTGGGAGGAAAGAACGCTTCTACTCCAGCAGGTAATGAACAACCCATTCCACTTTTCTTTCATGATCACACAACACCCCAGCTATGAGAAAATTAGCAACACCTCAAGTCTTAAAATCACCCCAACAGAGAGTAGGAAGAGAGGAAGACCAAGGCCACCAGCCCAGTTGGAAAAGACAAAGATAGGCTGCTCCTGTGACCATTGGGATCATTTACACCTTTGTTTTGACAGGGAAGTGCTGAAGGGGATGCAGACTAGGATTAGGATTCCAAACAATGCATGCAATACAATCAGATTACCGTACTGCAAAAAATACTGAATACCCACTGGAGTTCATTACCATAGCACCTGACCTGTATTTCTAACCAGTGAAGTCTTCGCTTCTCTGGGAAACACAAGAAATGCCCAGGGGGAAACATTTCATCAGCTCAGTTGCTTATGTCCAAAAACACAATCCTGTGAGTTTTCATTTTCTTTTCTAAACGAGTCTGATGTGGCTGGACCATGCCATACAGCAATTACTTGCCAGAGACATTGAAAAAGAACCCCAGCCAAGCCTCTCAGTCAAGTTGGACTTGCATTACGGCCAGACCTGAGTATCAAAAACCCGCATCTTTCCTGCATTTGCTCTCTCACTACTTCAAAAATGGCCAAACAGATGTTTTTTCAATTTCACATACAAACTTCACTTCCTGGCGGTAGCAGTGTGTGCCAAGTTCCAACTCAGTGTAAGTTTTTATGGCTGAATTCTAAACCCCTGACAATAGGGGGTTATAATGAAATGCTGACAGACCCCTCAGCGCCAACAAATGCAATGGCTCGATGCAAAGGAGGATATGTGCCCCGTGAGTTCCAGCTGGGGCTGTGCAAGCCAATCAATCCTTGTAAGAAGGAAAGTGCTTTTTCCTTTGCTCCCCATGTTCACATAGATTCTTGGCCCAGACGTGCTTGCCTTTACTTTGGCCTCTCTCCACAGAACAATGCTCAGCCAGAGAATTCCTCCAATGGAAGTACGAGCCATCAGCTTTCCTAACAGAACCCTCTGTTGTCTCCAACAAGGGTCTACTCCGCAAGCTTGCAACACCCACGGGGACTATTCTTCCAAAGCCCAGAGCCAGCCAGCCAATCCGCAGCTGGGGACAGGGTCCACTGGGGCAGCCACCCGATCTGTTCTCAGGGATTCCGACTTCCCTGACAGTCCTAGACTATGTCCTGGCCTTCGGTGTTTTTACACTTTCAAAAATAAATAGTAAAATACTTTTCTATTGTAAATATTACATGATTATTATAGAAAATGTAGAACATAAGGGAATAATTTCTAAAAGTAGTCAAATTACCCACGTAGGAAACAACTTCTTTTAAAATATTTTAGTATATTTCTATCGTATTTCTTTGGAAAAGTAAAAAAATACACATACCCTCTTACAATAGGAACATTCTCATCATAGACATTTTGAAAAGTTTGTACAGGTAAAAAAAATTTCCATGCAGAGATATGGGTTGAAGTATAGTCTCACTCACGGATACGTACATTAGGAAAATTGCAGTGTTTGCTCCGATGCACAGCTAATGAGATCTACAGTAAAATCAATGAGAGAAACTAGAGAGATGTGCCCACATCGCCATAGACACAAATAGCAGGCTGGTCGCCCCAAAATCTAGCGATACAGACCTGGGTCCTGAGTGCACAGAGCGGAAAGAGAGGTTGATGTTTGCATTTAAAACTTAATGTCCATCATCACGCTTTCCCCAGGAGTTTGAGAACTTATGAGTCGGCTTGGTTTCTGTTTGGTAGCAGAAGTAACAGACAATTTTGTTTAGCCTTAGATCAAAGAGGAGTAATTATTCAAGAAAGATACGGTGCCTGTTGCCAAGGACTGTACTGTTTCTTGTCAAAGAAAGATGTTCTGTTTTAAGTGTTCTACTGATTTCTCATTTAGAAGTCATACATGTTCATTGCAGAAAATGTTGAATAAATGGATAGTTCAATTCATCTTCAGATAGTCATAATCTAATCAACAAGAAGAGATATACCATCATTATGTATTCAGATGTCCATCAAAAAAACTTTTGCTTATTTTTTAAAGCAAAAGTGAATTTGATGTGTGTGTACATTTTCATGTAATTTCAATTTTCTTAAGGATACTGACCTTTCCATGTTGTTTAATAAAATGCTATTTTGATGTTTCTATTGTATGGACTTAAATAATAATATAGTTTATTTTGCATTGCTTAATTTCTCATTATTACAAAAATGCCCTTGGATTGATTTCTTTTGGCACATTATTATTATCTCCTTGGGATTAATTTCTAGAGATTACATTAGTGGGTCAAAGGATATGCATATTTTAAAATACTTTGAGATGCATTGCCTCAGTGTCTCTAGAGAAGTTAATCCCCCCCAGTAAAATAATATTTCCCAACTCTTCTTATTTTTTTCCTAATCTTTATCAATTTATTAGGCTAAAAATAATGTCTATTTGCCATTTTAATTAGCATTTTATTACTAACCAGTTGGAAGAATTTCTAAATGGGTATCTTGGTCATTTTCATTTTTCCTTTTGTGACCTTCCTTTGTGTCCTTTACTTATTTTTCCATTGTAGTGTTTTTCTAAATGGCTTATAAGGGTCTACTAGCTACTAAGGGCCTGAACACATCAAAGTAATTATTGTATTAATTTTTCTTTCATTGTGTGTGTTAGGATTTTCATTATATGGCAAACCTGTCTTGGAAGCTAGGATTAGGCAAATTACATGGCCTTCCTAATTTTACTACCATCATGTTTGCAATTTTGTTTTTACTCATTAGCCCACTTAGATTTACTTTGGTGTTTAACAAATATTCAGTGAACTGTTTCCATGTACTTATGTCTCCATTATTACAAAAATTACCTTTATATAGTATTAATTGTCATACATAGCCAGGTCTATTTCTGGAATCCATTTTGCTCTAAAGATTTGCCGATCTGTGTTAATGTAACACTGATTTCATTGATGTAGATTTTATCATGTTTTAGATGCTGTGCTCACCTTGCTTTTACCACTTTAACAGATTTTCTGGCTCTTATAAACTTTTGTTTAATGTTACTGAGTTTTGGAACATATAAACATAAATATTGAACTTGTTGAACAAATTAAAACTCCCTTTAGGATTTCATTATGTGTATATCTATCTATCTATCTATATATATATATATATACATATATGAGAGAGAGCAAGAAGCAGCCAAGGTCTCGCGATGCTAGGTGGGGTATAAAGGCTGCGGCCTGGTTGTGGCCTGTCTTTTTTTTCTCTGGGAGATCATGTGAGTGTCTGCATGGGGTGGCGGCGCGCATATATATATATATAATTTTAAAAATTGTTAAAATGGCATATGGTTGTTTTTCTACTAAATGCTGTGAAGCACCCTTTTTTTTTTTTTAAGATTTTGATTTTTATTTCAAAGGTACAGTGACAGATCTTCCTTTTGTTGGTTCACTCCACACATGGTCTCAATGGCTAGGACTGGGGCAAGCTGAAGCCACAGCCAGGAACTCCAGCTAGGTCTCCTGTGCAGGTGGCTGGGAACCAAATACTTGGGCCATCTGCTGCTATTTCCCAGGATCATTAGCAGGGAGCTGTATCAGAAGAGGAGCCCCTAAGGCCAGCACTGTGGCATAGCAAACAAAGCCAATACCTGTGGTGCCAGCATCCCATAACAGGTGGCAGTTCGAGTACTGGCTACTCCACTTCAATCCAGCTCTCTGCTAGCGGCCTGGGAAAGCAGCAGAGGATGGCTCAGGTCCTTGGGCTTTTGCACCCACATGGGAGACCTGGAAGAAATCCCTGGCTCCTAGCTATGGTCCAGATCAACTCTGGCCATCTGGGGAGCGAAGAGGCAGATTTGGAAGATCTCTGTCTTTCTGTAACTCTGCTTTTCAAATGAATGAATGAATATATATTTTTAAAAAATGGAGCAGCTGAGACTTAAACTGGCATTCTGAGATCTCAGCCTTGCAAGTTACCCACTGTGCCACAACATCAGTTCCACTTATTAAAGCTTAGAATCACTCCTCTTCCACATAGACTAATCTTTGTTCCAATAAGCCTCACTTTAGATTGGGATCTATCATTAGAAGAAAACACCTGTCAAAAAAGTCATGCACTGACTGCTAATGGAGCTGAATATAAGTGTGCATGCCTGGCTTGCAGTGTAAGAACCTTCTTTGTCATGCTGTGTGGGGAGGAGGCTCCTCCAACGTAAGTGCCGAGACCTGTGGCATCTTGGTGCCTACAGGATGCAGGCAGCATTGTAGAGCTTGGACCATCATCAGATTCAGGGACTCCCAACCTTCCACTTTTCCTTCACCTTGAATCCCATACCTCAAAGAAAGTTGGATTTTGTTTTTCCTCTGACTAAAGTGCTCTGACTAAAATACTAAAACCAAAGCCAGAAGAGGAACTCTTGCTTGGAATTATGCATAAGAATCACACATGGCCTTCTGTTTAAACCTATATCCTATCTCACTACAGTGCATTGGCCTAAATTTTGATTCATGAAACATCTTCAAGTATTACCTGCGATTCTTCCAGAACTCTGTCTTCCATTCCAGAGTCTCCTCCTTTTATCTGTATTTTTTGAGAAAAAGAGACTCTTCAGATGTTTGCTTCTGCATGGCATAGCTCAGCTCTTTAAGACTACTTATGAATAGTTTGTACGGAAAGTGCTCTTTCTCTACCTCTGTAGTTCTATTGTAAAAGGTAGCATACAGGAAGTGTGCCTGGTGACTGTTTCACATATCCAGTTGAAGGAATATAGCCTGAAGTGTACCTCTTATAGCAGAGAAGGAGAATACGGCTGGGGCCTTTGACAGGACATCAGAATGGGTGACTTTCGGTGTACATTGTACTTGGTCTTTTAATCAGGTCTCCTTTGGGGTAAAGGGGTCACTGATGAGACAGGATCTGTCTTTACTGTAAGCTTTGGCAGCAGATTCTAAGAGGTCTTTCCCAAGCCATGAGAGTTGAACAGTTTAAAATCTGGAGCCCAAAGTTAAGAGGAGCCCCTAAAACTTGACCTTATACTAGCAGTGCATATGTATGGAAGATTTTTGCCCTCATGAGCTCTATCTCCTTCTGGAGCAAATCAAACTCAGAAAATTATCTTCTCATCTAATGTAACTTAGCACAGTGTCTGACATTAAGAGACGGGGGCACTTCATTGTGTAAATTGTCTTTATTATTCCTGGAAATTGCAGCACTTCGTTTTTTGGCTTCCCTTAAGTCATTTTAATGTTAATAGTGTTAATATTGCTGTTTTTTTCCTAAACATTATGTCAGGGGAAGCTGACTTGCAGCTTTATTTCCCAGGAGCTCTGAAAGTACACGGAGAGGGAGATAATCTTGTAAATGTTAATAAACTTTTACATTTAATGAGGAAGTGGCCCATAGAGATGGTGCTCGCAGAGAAGATGTTAACCCAACAGATCAAACCTCTGGGGCCCTGGGCCTTCCCAGGGAGGCTGAGAGCTCCTGCTCAGGGCTTTGTTTTAGGCTGAAAAAGAGGCTTCTGTTGCTGGATAGATTTGATGCTTTTGTAGGTTGGTCACAGTCATTTCTTCCTGCTGAGCTTCTACTCATGAATTAAGGCCCATCATAGTTTCACAGGCCACTGATTCCTTCCTCACTCTTCCAGATAACACTTTTGGCCCTCTTCATCACCTTAGCATGGTAAAGATTCTTCTAGTGGGACCATTAGCATTGTAAAAGTGTGTCTTCCTCCCACTGGACTAGGTGCAGCTGTTGTCACATTTCATTTTCTCTTTAAACTCCTGGAATCTGGAGGAAGTCTTGGAAATGAATTGCTTCAATGAATGTATACTAAAGAAAGATCTAAACTTCTAGATGAGTCCCCCTTCTCAAAGAGTCCCTTTGCTTTCCAGTCATGTCGTCAAGTCCCACCGTCGGATCCTCCAGCACATCATCCATCCTCCCGTTTTCCTCTTCAGTCTTTCCTGCTGTCAAACAGAAGAGTGCCTTTGCCCCTGTCATCAGGCCTCAAGGCTCCCCTTCGCCAGCCTGCTCCAGTGGCAATGGGAACGGATTCAGAGGTAAGCAAAGAAACCACCTTAGGAGTCAGCATGACTCACATGCCCCAGAGCCCATTGATAGCTCTAGCCATTTATCCACAGAGATGGTCTTTTTCATCATAGACCAGGAGTGGCTTATGCAACTGGGCTTATGCTTTTAGCATTTTAAGGGAAATGGAAGCCAGACAAGTGTGCAGGTCACAGGCTTGACTAATGGTAAAACTATGTGTACTGTCAAGCAGTGTCTGGACTCCTGGCACTATCCTGTCCACGAGCCATTCCACTGTCTCCCAGCAGGTGCTGGCCACCCTGTAAGCTGCCCAGATGCTACAGGGCAAACACTGCTACCCTGATCAGCTTGCCACATGCAGTGCACACATATTCCCAAGGAATACATGGACAGGCTCCATCAGGAGCAACAAGCAAGGTCTGAGAATTCTGGTTATACGTTAGTCAAATTGATAGCAGGTGTCTGATCAAGGATGAGGTAGGAAGGAGGAAAAGACATACTGTTTCTAAGAACAAAAATTAATATCACCTGTCAAACTTACTTTTGCGCACTGTCCTAAAATATGATATGACGTGACGTAACACAAATGTGATGAGTACATGAGAATCTAATCATCTCGCTGTGAATGGGAGGCAGCTGATGGCAAAAGAGCAAATTGGAACCTGCTGAGCACTACAGCTCACTGGTGACTCGCGCCGTTTTTGGGCTGCTCCTTGTGTTTTGACATGCAAACATTCACAGCAAGCAGTGTTGGGTAAAACCCAGAAGGGCAGGGGTTTGGCTAATGCCTCATGCCTCATGGATCAAAGCCTTTGAGAGGAGTTGAGCTTGACAGGGAGCCTGGGACAGGTTGTGCTGTTATTGGGACAGCAACTGCCTGGTGTCCTTATGATGGGAATAGGCTCCTCCTCTTTGTGACCTGGGATGTTTTCCTGGTCCCTGTTTGTATTAGAGACAAGTGGCTAGCCAGAGAAACTGGCAAAACCGGAACTAAACATGTAGCAGTTTTTCGGAAGAGCTACCGAAAAATGTTTTTCCTCCCAGTGAGGCAATGGAGCCGGGTCTCCATTGCCACCCAAAGTGTGAGTAGTTGGAAACATCTGTATATTCGATGGAATTTTTTCCTCACCCATATGTCTAAGCTATTGGGAAATAGGCTTAGCCTGCAGCGGAATATCTCCACCTGCTGCATCTCTCATCAGAGAACAGTGGCTTCCAACTCCTTGTTAGCAGATGTGCCAGAAGGTTCTCTGTGATTATTCCTAGACTGAAAAGGAAAGCAGTGGCTGAATCCCCATTGTCCACTTCTTCCCCACAACTGCTTCAGTGATGGTGTGTCTGTTTTCTAAGTCCTCTGGTTTTATTCCTGAGCCTTAAACCAGTAGGAGCCACATAGCTCTCACTGGGCAAAAGCAGAGTGAGAAAACAATAAAACTTAAGGAGGAGCACTAGCTCCCCTCCACCCGGACACCAAAGGAAAACAGAAAGGGAGTGATCCTTTTCTTGTTCCAGGCAACTCAACAGGCTCACCTTCACTTGAAGGAACATGGTGTCACTCGACCTCCATCCAGCAGCCCTCCCTTGCCTCCTTTCTCATATAAACCCTGGGCTGCGGCAAGAGTGGCAATGCACAAAGATCTTCTCTGGCTGGGCTGCCCATGGAGACTCAACATGGAACTGGTCCAGCTTCTAGCTTACAACTTTCTCATTGGAATTAATGGCTTGTGATGCCTATCTTGTCTTTTGCTGCACACCCAAGATCCCAGCTATGTCGTTGGTCAGCTTTGAGTCAGTCCTGAGAACTGTAAGGGAGTCTTGTGAAATGTTAAGATTCCCTGTCTCTAGCAGTGGCAGCTTTATTGATTACATGAAACCACAGGCACTAGACTCTAGCTTTATTTCTGCAGGATCACTGTGGATTCTCAAAGTGTGAGTGGACACAAGGGGTCCTTGCACTTGGGGTTTTGCCAAATAGTCAACCTCAAGCGAATTTTGCTCAGAGGAAAGCTGTATTTACTTGTTAATGATTAAAAGAGGCAATGAAAAGTATGTTAGCTCTCTACAGATACTGCTTCCTTCAGAAGCAGGGCTAGGGGAGAGGCTAGGACATAAACTCTTATCCCTCATGCATTGTTCCAAGAAAAAATAAAAATGGCAGCCATCTCCTCCTTTGGCAGTGAATTTGCATTATATTCAGAAAAGTTCTGTCTGGATAGCAAAATTCTGTCTCCAACTCCTTGGTTGTGAAGGTATTTGTGGTAAGACAAGCTTTCCTGGGACATCCTCCTGAGGGCAAGTGCCAGAGAGGTTGGGCTTACTCAGCCCATCTTCCAGTCACTCCTTTTTTGCCTAAATGCTATACGAGATCACACAAGCTCTACTGAGTCTTACCATTCACTCTAAATTTCTTTGTTTATAACCTTGAAGGAAAGGGAAAAGGAGAATGGATGAGGGGGTGTAGAAAGGTGTAATGTACCTGTCAATTTAGAGTTCTGGTCTAAAAAAAGTTTCAGAGTATTTAAAATGATTTCTAAAGAGAACCCCTTAGAGTTTGAATTGTGCGAAGAGCAGAACTCAAGTTCAACAGTCATGTGTTACAGCAGTGAATCCATGCAAGTTGCCTCCTGCTCTTCATCATTGTAGAGCAGGTGGGTGGAGGTTCAGGGATCAGTGCTGTGGGAGCCCTGCAGAAGAAGAGAGGTGGGAAAGCACGCTGATGGTGGTTCATGCACCATCCAAGCATTGCAGGACAGGTGCCTGAGAAGCAAGAAGCTCCACTTTTTTTCTGAGACAGGCAGTGAGAGAATAGAAATGCAGGCCAAGGGGTCTGGCTATTCCCAGGCCGATGAGGCTGTTCCCCAGACTTCCTGCAGGGTGAGATGTTCTCCATCACATGCTGAGCACATGTGCAACTGACACGCTTTAAGACTCCCTATTACTGAGTCATACATTGCAAGGGTCCACTGAGTTCCTCAAAGCTCCTCCTTCAAGTCATGCATTATTGCGATCACTAGTCAGGTAGTTGGCCATCACTACACACCAAGTGACCAATGACATGGAACAATAATAATAAAATTCCTGTACCCTTCACCAGGACCAAAGGGAGATCATTACTTTCCCATAAAATGTCAAAGGTAAAAAGAAATTGGAAAATACATTCATGCATTCCCCCACTGCTGGTAAAAATGGTCACTTCGATTTCTGCCTGTTGGTGCTGGTTTCTGTAAACACGAAGTCTGGGTTACCCTCCACTGAAGATCCATCCCTCTTGAGTACTGGATGTGAGACCAGGAAGAAAGGAAGTAGGTGAAATCTGTTTCCTAACTGCTGTGGATCTTGTTTTCTGAGCAACTCTGCCTTTCATAAGCCCTGCTAGTAACTGTACACCAAGATAAAGGGGTAAGGGAGTTATAAATGCAATAACTAAGTTCATGCTGAGAACATGAGTGAGTGGGATTCTACTGGCGGAGAGCTCTATGTGCAGCATTCATTGTTGTACCTTGTGCCTCATTTATCAGGCATTTAGAGTTGATGAGTATAGATTGTCGAGATGGTATTATACACTATGTGTCTGATTCATTTTCCAGCTCCCTCCAGGAAGAAAAAGAACTCCTCCACTCTGGGATAATTACTAGAGTTGCTATCTCTCTAAATCTTCTGGGAGTGTCCAGAATCGAACCACTTTTATTGAAAAGTTACATCGATTCAATATATAGTAATACAGGCAAAAATAATTAAGGCTTTGCTAGCTGTGTTAGACCTTAATCCAGATCTCACAAACATTCAATAAAGGCTGTATGAGCAGGGAAATAGATGGCTGACAATTTTGCCTGAGAGGACTGACTGCTATGTTCAAAAGGGGTGGGGGCAGGAGAGTGAAGAGGAGGAGGCAGAAGAGCGAGCGAGATGAAATGGGAAATAGAATTCTGACGATTTGCTTGTAAACTTAGTAAATACCACTTGGCAGAATCCTTCTATGATGTTGGATAACCCCTTTACATACATTACAGATAACATTCAAAAGAATCAAATTCTAGATATGGTTGCTTTGCATGAAAATGTCAAACCATTCAGCAATTTTCTAAGGAAGGCCAAGGCCAGGATACATTTTACGGTTTTGTTGCATTATACCATTTATTTCCCATATTTAGGGAAAATCATGGATATAATTCTGCCCAGAAGACAGGATTATCTGTGTCAATAAGCCTTCAGTTCCTTTCACAGGAGTTTTGTTCCCTCGTCTCTCAATTGAGTCAGACTGCATCCTTCTTAGCTCATCCCTCTTGGAGCATGTAGTCTTCCACCCCCAAGCTCTTCAAATCTCACTGCTGTGCCATTCTTCCCCTTGCAGCCATGACTGGACTTGTCGTGCCCCCGATGTAAAGAAGAGGAACTGCTTTCTTACGGCACAACACGATTTACTCTGATGGACCCACAGAGAGAAAAGCACTATGAGCTCGCTGGGAGAATTAAGCCCCCAAATGAAGATGCTGGGCAGATTTGGGTGTCCAACGAGCTGGCGTCTTGGTCTCACATTTCTCCTATAGTGCTGATGGCAGCTACACAAACTGATCCTCTTGGGGGACATGGACAAAAGATGTCATTGGCATGGTCAGTGCTAAGAGCAGAAATGCAATTCTTTGTTATGAACATTATGAAAACCACCTTCCTATGTTTGTAAAATATTTAAGAAAAAAATTGGCAAACAATTCATGCTTAATATTTTGGATACTATTTGTTTTTCTTTGTAGGAAAAAAAAAGTTGAAAATTTCTATTTTCTATGAAGCCTTTCAGATACCAATTTAGTTTATGCAGAAAAAAAATTGAACAAAACAGGGTACCAGCATGGAAGACTTTCTTAAAAACGAAACCTGAATTGAATGATGAAATGTTGTATGTGTGTTTGCTTATAGTTTGATCTCTTAAAAAAAAAAGAAACAAAAAAGGGAAAAAATTTTAAAATGTTTTACAATTATTTAAATAAATAAATGTGTAACTTATTGTAAGTAGAAGTAGCAATTAAGATCCTTTTTTCGGAGGAGAGCGAAATCTCTTCCTGATGTAAAATGAAAATGATGCAAACCTGTAGTAACAAGTTTAAAGGTGTGTGATTATTACTGCAGTTACTAACTAGTCTCTTCTCCCCTATCCTGCAGCCCCTCTTTTTCCATCATTTTATTGGCCTATGGGCAAGAACATGTAACTTAGCTAGATTACAAAAGAACAACCCAGGTCAGACACACTCAAGTACACATGTGTACACAAATACTCAGATTCATCAATTCATTCCCAGCTCTGTTTGCTTTCTCAATAGTCTACATATCCCTTTTGATATCCTCTTTGTGAATTTTTTTAAATTTATATTAGCTTTCCACTTTCTTCTCTGAGCAATGCAGAGAATTCCCTCATTTAGTGTATCTCTGGCTTTAAGCATCCCAAGGACAGGTGTGGCTCACCTCCAGAAAAGCCAAAGCCACGTAAGTTTCTTGGCTAAGCTGCCCCTTTGGAATTCTTTCTTTGCTAGAGCCACACACGTCCTTGGCTTTGCTTACTCCATTCAGCAAGGAGGCAAAAACCCCACAGAACTTTCAAAACTGGTCTTACAGAACAGACTCTGGGCATGGGGATGTGGTAGTAGTTTTTCTTTTGACTCTAGTGAATCAGTCTAGGAATATCCAACTCCTTTCCTATGTTTGTATGTTTCTTTCACAGAATCAAGCTCTCTTGGAAACACACACACACACACACACCCTACTTCACAATGTTTCCAGGTAAAAACAGGATGGGGTAGGGTGTGGAAACGCAATGTTCGCAATGTTAGAAAGGCCTAAGTCCTCCTTGTGTCTAGAGAAGAGATTCAGATTCCTGGGAGTTTCAGTCCCTAGATCCAGCAGGATTCTAAGCCAAGCAGGAACCCAGGCCTCTAACATGCCCACCTTGCCCAACTCCTAGGGCAGGAAACCTTGCAGTAGAGTACAGCAATTGATTCTGGAAGGCCTCTGTGAGCCTAGACACTTGTCCACACTTAGGTAGCATGTCAACAAGGATGTCATTGTCCCCCTGGGTAGGGAACCTCCTTGATGATTTCGGGCGCACAGTAGAGTCTGCACACAGGCTACCATTTGTGATTCTAATATTAGATTGATGCAGTTCTCACAGAGAAAGAGCTTGAGTGCATCTGAGCCAGTTTCAGATACCTACGTCCCTCCTCTGCCCCAGGCAGTCATGCCCACACCTAACCAGCCCTCTCCTCTCTTACTTGCCTTTAGTCCATTCCAGAATTACCCAGTGTGACTCACCTATTTCTATGCACATGAAAATCCAAGGTTTTAGAAACCTGGCATGCTTGTAACTATTGCTGACACTCCCTCATAGTCAGGGCCTAAAGAGCCAAAATACATGGAAGCATACAAGAATAAGTTCCCCAGTGAAAAATTTGGTAGAAGGGGAAGATTGTGTGGAACACAAACACTGCCATCCAAAAATGAAGGCAGGACAAAATTAAGCATGTTTAGACCTGGATTTGAGCCAATCCAACATAAGGAAATGTTTTTTTAAGTAGCATTGCTTTTAGAACCTGTGAAATTTTGCTCTTGCATGAAGATGAGTGCAGTACTGTCTTCAAAATGATTGTAGAATTTCTTGGTAGCTTTACACCGAAAAAATGTGTAACTAAATATCAGACCTCCTTGACCATTCAGCTAGAACCTTGGCAGCAGATCTATTTAACTGTACAAATGTGTGTAAGGACTCTTCTTAGTGTACTAATAAATTAAAAATGAACCAACTCTGTCCTCTTTAGTCATTGCTGTTGAATCATTCTGGTCCCAGATTATTTTCGTGCCACTTGGAATATGAGTATTTCTATAGGTAACTAACTACACATTCTATCCTATCTAAGAGGAGCTGTGTAAGATTTTTTCACTTAAAGGGACAATTTACTTCACTATTTATCTCATGTCTTTTGTTATAGCATTGTAGTTCTTCCCAGTTTTTCTTTGCACATTTCAATATGCATGGTTTAAAAACCATTATCTTCTCTACCTTTTGTACAGTAAGGTTTCATTTTCAAACTGTATAGTTTCATTTATTGTTTTGCTTTGTCAGTTATATACAGTATAAAGTTGCTATGCACAGAGCTTTTTGTAAAGATAGCTTTTTTGTTTACTGTTTTTAATGGTCTTACTTATGGAAGAATATCTTGTTTGTAAAATGAATATGTCTACTTCAGTTTTAAATTATCCTAACAAAAAATAAAATTTTTGTACTGTAAAAACTATTGGATTCTTGCACTTTTTTCAGTGGAAAAAAATTTGGATTTTTTTTTTCTAATGCTCATGTCTATCATTTAGTAACAAGCTTATTCACAGTTATGGGAATAGAGTATACAGGAATAAATATGACTCGAGACACAATTATTAAAAGTTAATTGTTCTGGCATCATTGGACCCAGCAACTCCACTTGTAGTTTATATCTTATATCCAAGAGAAATAAAAACATCCTAATACAAAACTGTCAACAGACATTCATAGTATTATTTATAATAGCCAAAATGCAGAAGTAGCATTTTGTCTCATAACTTGTCCTTCTTGGGCTCTGCTTGAGGAAATCTTTAGTGTGAGTTTACATGGAACTGGTCTTGAGGTACTTGCTTGAAGGAGAGAGTATGAGTTTAGGTCATTTTTTTGGTAAGTATCTATACATCTATTTGGTCAAATTCCTACCTCCAAACAAAACCCTCAAAAATCAAGGGTTGGCATGGCTGCACAGAGTTAAGCTGCTGTTCGTGATGCTAGTATCCTGTATCGCAAGGTCTCTTTCAGTCCTGATGTTTCACTTGCAATCCAGCTTGCAATACAACCTGATGTGCCTGTGGAAGTAAGATGGCTTGAGGGATTGGGCCCTATTACCTGTGAGTGAGACCTGGATGGAGTTCCAGGTATATAACTTCGGCTTGATCCAACCTCAGCCACTGTGGCCATTTGGGTAGTGAAGCAGTATATAGAACTGTTCCTTTGTCAGTCTTCCAAATAAATAAAATCTAAGTTAAACTTTAAAATCAAAGGATCCCATGTACTATGTGGAATGTTGACTATATAAAACTCCTGAGTTTACTTTGATTTGAGATGAAACTGCTTATTAAACAAATGCTGAAAGTTGATCTTAGTGCAATTCTCAAATGCCCACAAAAGCTGGGCCTGGGCCAATCTCAAGCTAGAAGCCAGTAACTCAATCTGGGTCTCCCACAATGGTGTCAGGAAGCTGCCTAAACTGCCTTCTCCAGATGAGATGAGATGCTGTTTCTAAACACAAACTATAAAAGGCACTAGAACTTTCCTTCATGAAGACTAGATCCTCTCCCTCTTTGTCCCTGCACATATGCAGCCGTGTTGTCTTCAGGCCTCTGGTCAAGTACCATTTGTTGATTGCCTCTGAGGATGCAGATTGCCTTACTTATTCCCTGAAACTAAAATCTGCATCCTTGCCCTGATAAAACAATCTGTTGTCTTGGTTTTCTGCCTCCATTTTTAGACTTACAGGGCAAAGGACCAGGGACCACGGTCATCTCAACACCAAATACTTCACATCGGGTCAACAAAGCCTCGTTAGAGTGGATGTGCATACTCTAGGCATGTGGGAAAGGCAGCTGTTCTTTCTCAAATGATAGAAAATGTAGAACTACAATCAGAACATAGAGAATCACTATCTAGAGACTATCTTGCCAGTTAATTGATTAAAAATATAAAGCGTGTTTATAATGTAACATGCATGGCTATCTGACAAAAAAAGGAAACTGAAAATGGGAGGAAGGGAAGCAGTGATCTCTGGCTGGTTGCCTGTAACCCAAACTAGTCTATAGTTTACCTCATCTTTTTGTGTGCCTGTCCAAAGGAGCCTTTGTTTCTTTATGCACCTTCCAAGGCTCTACCATAAACAGCTATTGCTCTATGCCTTTTCCTCCTGGGCTATAATGTTTTTTTCTCAATGCATAGATTCAATTCTGGTTTTGTTCCTGAAACTTTTACCTCTAAAGGTAAAACACATTCTCTGTTCCTTCATTCTATTCTCTTGCATATGTTGTATGTCTAGTCTGTCATTCATATTGATCACATTCCCTATACCTGCGTTGAACTCTTAGTACACATGTATACTTGCTTTCCTCAATCTTGACCTACCTTGTTTGTTATGTGGTTTTATTTTCTCAGATTTTACATTTTTTTCTTTTTCTATTTTCATAAACTGTGCCAGCTTATATACCACCATTTTCTATATGTTAATTATTAAATAATTGTACTTCATTTTGAGCTACTGATATATAGAAAATTTTTTAATTGTGGTTATGAACTTGAAGAACATTGCCATCATCTCCATGAATTTCTTTCTTAATGTGCTTCATTCTAGGAACTAACCATTCCTAGAAACTTA